TCTCTCTCAAAATAAATAAATAAATAAACTTAAAAAAAAAAAAGAATGAATCTTGTAATTTCAAAATCTGATTAATGCCCATTTCAAACAGGAAGAACACATAAAACTAGAGTTGAAAAAATTGTTAAAGGCATAATACAAAAACAATTCCTAGAACTGAGATGCAGGAATCTCTAAATTTAGAAGGTGAGGTGAGTGTCAGTACAATTAATGAAAACAATGACATGCACCAGAAAATAACATTGTGAAATTTTAAAACACTGCTGATGAAGAAAGGCACCTAAAACCTCTTAAAAGCAGCCAAGAATAAAGGAAGAAAGCAAGCAAGGAGAAACACATTCACACCAACAGGAAGGGAAATGGGGCACAAAGAGGAAGAGGAAAAAGAAAAGATAAACTCAGATTAGTTTCAATTTGTAGAATAGGTAGGTGTTCAGTATTCAAGTATGATTTGTTAAATTTTAAACACTCAAGAGGCTATAAGCCAAAAACTTAGTATAGACTCTACGCTGAAAATAGGTGTAGACTCTGAAAATAGTCTTCCCAGACCAAATAATGTGGGAGTAGTTTTGTTACATAGCAATCTGTTTTACATACTTGTTCAAATAAATAGCCAATCCATCAAAAATAATCACACATACAAAAAAGAAATCTATTAGGAAAGTGTAATAAGTGAACTGTTAGAACATAAATTGATGTACTAAGCAAATATTAGTTCTAAAATACATGTATTATAGCCCCCCAAATCAGACTGTGGACTAATAGAAGTTTTTGTATGCTAGCTACTGTTAATATTAATAGAGCTTTTGTATAGTAGCCACCATTCCTATATCTTCATCATTTGTTTAGGCAAATGTCCACGTTTGAATAATTCCTTTGCAAGAGATTTTGGAGGATTTATGATTGCAGAGAAATTGCTCCTAATCTCTGGCTGAGAATGCCATCTGTGCTATTTATGTCATGAAACATAACATAAAGTGCTTTGAGAACAAGAAGAGATAGAGCTTAGCAATCAAATGTTCTTTTTTTCTATAAATATTCCCTAGATTGCTTACGTAACCCCAACATAATGTGGAAACACCTGAACACTCTTAATGCACTTCAAATCTGTTAGCTGTTTGAAAACATGTGCTTTGTGAGATTAGAATAATACCATTTTCTTCTTAAAAAACAAAAACAAAACTACTCTTCCATTATAAATTTCCATATTATCACATAACATTATCCAGAAGTAATTCCATTTTAAAAACACTTGTTTTCTGCTAGAACTTTCTTTTAGAACATGGATTATAATTTGAAGTGAAACAAATACCTCAGTTCTGATTAAAAAGAATCCATTTGTAGCTAGAAACTTATTTTCTATTAAACGTACAAATTCACACACTTTGTTAAATAATCCCATGGGACTAACATAACCAACACTTAAAGATCAATTATGAAAATTCATTATATTGTTTTTTCTGTATATATTTTTGTATATGTCTTTAGATTTTTTTCTTAAAAAATATTTTAATGTTTATTTTTGAGACAAAGAGTGAGACAAAACGTGAGTGGGGGAGGGGCAGACAGACAGAGGGAGACACAGAATCTGAAGCAGGCTCCAGGCTCTGATCTGTCAGCACAGAGCCTGATGCGGGCCTCAAATTCATGAACAGCAAGATCATGACCTGAGCTAAAGTCAGACACTAACCGACTGAGCCACCCAGGTGCCCCTGGATCTATTTCTTAAGAAGACTTTTCCCTCTCTACAATTATTTGGAAGATTCTCATATATATGTCAAAGGCTATGTAAACTTCTCTGAATTTAATTTTCACACTAAGATTTTTAGTATTCATAATTTATTTTTCTGTGTGGCATATGGTACAGATATAACACATTGTTCTAAGATTTTTTTTTCTAATAGCATCAACATAATTTAAAAATAACATGTATTAAAAGCATTGCATTCATAATAAAATAAATTTCTATGTACTCAAATTCTATACTCAAAAATCTATTCGATTAATGAGCCTATCAATCACATTTTAATAGAATAGTATTTTTTTTTTTTTGGTATTATTTGGTTCATGAGAGGTATTTTGTCACTCTTTTACCTAAAAATTCCTCATGTATTCTTACATATTTTCTTTTTCAAAATAAGCTGTCTACATTCAATCAAACCGTCTTTGTTGGGCTTTTAATTGTCATTGCGTTTTACTTTTAGATTGATTTGGTAATAATTATAACATTGGGCCATTCTATTTATGTTTGTCCATGTATTCAAGTCTTATTTGATAATCTTCAGTAAGAGAATTCATCATATAAATCCTATACATTCCTTTTTAGTTTTCTTCTTTTTACTTCTTTTTTTCCTTTCTTTGTGAAAAAGGACTGTATTTGTATTATATAATAATGGCACCTACCTGAAGTTTCTCAGAAGGTTAAATGTAGTTATACTTGGAAAACATGTTAAAAAATTACCTGTTATACACTGTGTAAAACATGTGTTAGCTGCTATTTTTATCATCTGGAATTATTGTTTCTATGTTTTTCTTTTACTTGCCAGCTTACTGAATGATCTTACGTATGCTAATAATGTAGATAAAATACAGGTAAGGAAAATATCATTTGTAGGTTGTAACTATTTTTCTCCCCTTTTTCATATATGTAATTTATTCCCCTCATTGTATTGAGTAGGACTACGAATTCTGTGCTAAAATTAACAGACAAAATACTCTTTTTAGAGGAAATTAAGAGTAAAAATTCTATATGTATTTGTTATTTTTCTGATATGTGGATTAAAAATATATAAACTTAATCAAGTTAGATGTATTTTTAGATTACTAAGTATTTTGTTTTAAGCAGTTGTTAAATTTCATGAAATGCTTTTAGCAGCAGGTTATTCATACAGTTTTTCTCCTTTATCATGCTAATGTATTAGAATATTTTACCAAACTTCCTGTTGTTCAATCAACTTGCCTTTCTTAGAATAAATTCTACTAGCTCATTACAATTGGCTCTTTAAATACACTTCTGGATTTGATTTGCTAATATACTTCAGACCTGGGGATCTATATTCATAAATAACATTGTATTTCTATGATTTCTTTGTTTTCTGTTTGTCTATGTACACCATTCATGTCTATTTTAGATTATTGCAGACACAGAAAGTGAGTTGGGAAGTAGTCCATCTTTTTAATGTTCTAGAACAGTATAATGGAACAAAGATAATCTTTCTCCTTGGAGATTTTTTTAATCACTCCACCCTCTGAATCCGCAGCTTTTTGTGAAAAAACTTTGCATCTATTCTAACAGAAATTACAGGGAAATGAGATTAGTTGAAAAGGGCCGGTTAACTTGACCTCAAAATTAAACAGATAAAATTATAGCATTAATAATACCTGATATGTAATCGTTACTTATTTTTTAATATTTAAGGTCCATCTCCAATGAACAGAATCTGTAAGTACTTTATTCACTAATATGTTTCTAGCATTGAAAATAGTGCCAAGCCTATAGTAGACACTCAATAAATTTTTGTTCATTCAATAAATGAATAAAGTAACAAAAAATTATATTGGTTGTGAATAAATATTTATTTAGGGAAAGGTGAAAGGATTTGGGGTAGTATAAGTAATATGTCTATCAGAACATTCATATGTTAGCACCCTTTACCTGAGGCCAAAAAATATATAGACACTCTGTTTCTTAGAAAAGCATGTGCATAATTATATTCACTCTATTCCAACACTAGGCTGCTTTTTTTTAATGTTTGTTTATTTTGAGAGAGAGAGAGAGAGAGAGAGAGCATGAGTGGGCGTGCTTTTGGAGGTAGGGGCATAGAGGAGAGAGAGAATTGAGGCAGGGCTTGATCCCTGGAACCAAGTGCCCTTAGGCTGCTTTTTTATTAGATTTAGTTTTGGAATTCAGTGGCAGTGGGGAGGAGCAGGATATGGCAAAAAAAAAAAAATGTAGGTATATATATGTAACTATCTATATATTGTTTTCAATATCATGCATGCTATGAAATTAAGCTTTTCCTTCATATCAGTAGATATACTAAACTTTCTAAAGACATCAGTCAGAACTTTCTTAAGATAAAAATATAATTTCTCCAAATAGAGGAAAAAACTTTCAATTTCATAATATAATAAATCAGCTAGTAAAACTTCCTTAATAAAAAAAAAAATAATTACCTGTTACTCTTAAAATAGGTGTATGGATTACAGAGAGAACATAGGTTATTTTTAATTTTTTTTTATGGTTCATGTGTTAACCTTGATATCACAAATTGCCATACTCTCTCTTCCTTTTTTTTTTCTTTTTCTTTACAGAGTCTATTTCTTCTTTTGGAATAGACACATCTCCCTAATTCCCAATCACTTTTTCTTTCTTCTGTTGGGTCCTGCTCATGTTTCAAGCTTTACCTACTTTTTGAAGACCTTTCAATGCACTGCTCTGCCTTCCTCAGCCCTTGGTTAGAGCTCTGTTTTATCCATGATCATGATGATCATGTCTATTATAATTTTAATTATGTCAATTTTCATCTTAGTAGACTGTAGATTCACTAAGGAATCTTAATGAATTCTTTAATTGTTGACCTTGTTAACTCAACACATCTTCAATAAAAAGCGGCAGTTGCTCAATGTTTGCTAAATAAATGCATTTTTAAAAAGCATATTATACCTGTGATCAACCCAGCCTAGAAATGAAACTCCTTTACCTGGGTCTCAAAATTTAGTACACAAGGTTGAGTTCTTCTATTTGTTGTTGTACTCTTTTCTCAACTCTCCAATTTATACATATACAAATGAAGAGAGAGAAAGGAAAGAAAGTAATGTGGGGTATCACAGTACCACAGAAGGAAACATGACAGGTTTCTGCTTATTGCTTTTTTTTTTTTTGCTTATTGCTTTTTAAACAACATGAAGCTGCTTGCTTTATTTTTTTCTCAGAAACCATACTATTGTCTATTGACCTAAAATAGAGAGAGAGAGAGAGAGAGAGAGCTTATTAAGAAAGACATTGGAGAGATAAAACTCTGTAGTGTCCATATTTTTCATTAAAGCCTCATATGACTCAAAAACATGGGCTGTGTGTTTATGTGCCCTGCTGTCACCCCTAAACAACTACATCTGAGACAGCCATCCTCTTCCTTCTCTCATTTCTTGTCATGACTGAGTAAACTTACTCCCTTTGTCTTTCACAGAAAGAGTCCAAGAAAATATAGGCTCAGGTTTTATAGAAAAATCAAAACTGATCCAGTCAAAGTAGATTTACAGGAATATATACTCATCCTCTAAAACCTCATTTTCTTATTTAGAGAAATCATTTTTCTAGGTCCTAGAAAGGTAAATTCCTGGTACACAAAAAGTAGAGGATTGGGAACTAAGCTTTCTTAGCTGACTTAAGAATCTTCTGCAGAATTTCTGTGAAATTCTTAACTATTGACTTACGAAGACTTTATGTCTAAATAGTAACTGCAATGTTTATTTTTTTAAATGGAATATGTTTAAAAAGACTCCGGGAAAACATTTTTAAAGTTATTATTGGATGGGAGGAATATGGGGCGGAGTTGGCCTTAGAGAAATGATAGCAGCATTAGTAAAAAGGATTTTAAAAAGCACATGCTGGGCTCAAGTCAGTATAGCTCCAAAAGACAGGACTGAGCAAGAAGGATCAGAAAGACAAGATGAACGATGTGAAGCTTGCTGTCTTGGGTGGCGAAGGAACAGGCAAATCTGGTGAGTGGTGTTGCATACTGTGGCATGGTGCAGAGTGTAAAACGAGTGAGAAATATATCGACCTAATAGGTAAATATAGCTACATAATTATGTATACTACTTTTTATTAGGAGTTTTCATTTTTATGAGGAAGTAATGCAATTAACTGTATATTTATAGAACTTACAGGCACTTTGAGAAAGATAACCGTTTGAAGTATTAATTTGTAGGAATAACAGTAAATCACTCCATCACCATCCCACCTACTTCTCACTCTAAGACACCTGCCCTCACATCCACTAGTGGCCAAACAATGGCCTTGAACTGATTCTTCTGGTCGGAGCCTAAGGGTGGAGAAGAATGCAGGGAGACCTGTGGATTATGTTTTAAATGCAACATTCCTGAGGTGAAAAAACAGGATGGGCGTGGCTTTGTAGATGCCTGCAGACTGAGCAACAGGTGCCCCTGACTTTGGAAGTCACAGTTTTGTTTTATTTTACCGGATTTTGGTTTTGGTTCCATTATGATGGTGGTGAGGATGCCATCAATAGAGCTACCTGATCTCAATGAACGATGACAACTGTCCAGACCCAGGAGCTGCAGCAAGATAAACCCACACTAGAGGTCTTTTTTCTGTTTCCTGGGTTTTGAAGTCCCTCTGTCCTTGCAAACAACTGTGTGATAAACAAATGTGTGATATTGTCCTTGTTACTATTAGAGCCAGATTTGATCTGGTAAAGAATATAAAGAGATGGTATAGTTCTTGAATCTGAAACTTAATGAGAACTCTGTTTCTGTTACATAAAGTAAGCTGTCTTACCTGTTTGCATTCATGAATTAATTACATAGTGATTTGAATAGGCAGATCACTTTCTAGTCTTTTAATCTTTATGGTTGTACAGTGAAAATCTTGATGACTATTATTTAGACTAGAATTTAATAAAGCTTTAAGGTCTGCATTAATGCTTGGTAATTTTTGAGCTGAAAGATAAAACCTTATGTACATAACTAAGTTATCTGTATCCTAAAACAGAAAAGACCCTAAGTCCAGCCTGTTTGTCTTGTAGCACTTACAGTAAGGTTTCTTACCAAGCGATTCATTGGAGAATATGCTTCTAATTTTGGTAAGTCACCACTTTAGACTTTTTTTTTAACCTTTACAATTTCATCATTTTAATTAAACCACAATTAAGGTCACTGAAGCATTTTGGTAGAATTTTCCATTTTTGCATTTTTCAGCAACTTATTTATTCAGATTCTGGTTGGAAATATCAAAATAGGTACTTGAATAGAATGTGCTTTTATGATAAAATTCACCCAATTTGATGTTAAGTGAGATGGATTAGGAAGTCAGTTTGTTTCAGTCTAGAATTAGAAGAACATTAAAACTAAGATCCCCCTCTCCTAATATTGTGAGGTGTGTCAGTGTGAATATTTTTGTAAACTATGAAACAGTTTTGAAATTAAATAAACATTTGTTGAAAGATGAAGACATATTAATTATAAAAGCACTAGTAACTACAAAATAAAGCTTATTTTAATTTATTCCCATGTGAAAATAATGGGAAAATTATACCTTGATTAAAGATCATATCAAAATTATCTAGGTTGCTTATCTAAGTTTCAGAGAAATTCTAAAACAAGTGTCTTAATATAATCTTAGAATAATTTTACTAACTCTGCTCTAAATTTATTTTGTTCAGAATTAGCATGACATATGGGAAATATCAGAGTGAGGCATTAATAAAAAGTGAGGAACTTTGCCAGAGTTTTGAGTATATTTTTGGCTCAGCAATTAATCAATATTAATACTAATATTAATAATCAACATTAGTACTAATTAGTACTAATAACTCACCTGATTTAAGACATGAGGGAAAAGTGATTTTGCTTTATGTTTTTTAAACAAGAACAGCAGAGTATAAAAAAATTGTGAGAGTTGGAAGAAAGGGGAATGATTTTGATTTTTTTGTGCAATAATTCTTCCTTAGATTAAGAGGAAGTTATAATTGAAAACATGTTTTTCCATAAGAAATAATCTCCTCCACCAAAAAAAGAAAGAAATAAAGCAAGAAAGCAAGAAAGCCTCCATTCATGAGGTAGCATTATTCCAGAATTTTAGAAACTAACGTTAAGGTATTATATTGTATTACTTTCTACATGTACTTAACATACTACTTCAATCCATATGACATTGGGAATATTTTAGGGAAAGTGCTTGAAAACTGATTAATGATAGAAGAAATACATAGAAAAAGAAATTCCTATTGTTTAAATTCTCAGGTGAAAAACCTCTGTCAAAAAAAGTCAATATAACACAAAGGGTCAGGCAGGAAAAGATGTTCCACAATTACAAAACCAAACCAACACAAATAAAACCACACCCAAAAATAACAACAGCAACAACAACAACAAAAAAATCACCTTAATCTTTTGTAAGATATAGTTATATAAACAAATGAAGTGTATACATTCCAGGCTGGTACATTTCCATTAAAAAATATATGACTTAGAGACATTTTGAAAAGATAAACAAATGAGCAAAAAGATCATCACTGCACGAGGAAAAACTGGCAGAAAATAATTCCATCTTGTAAATGAAGACCAGAAGGGGAAATAATAAAATTCTAAAAAGTTAAGAGTTAGTGACCCCAGCTGGCAGTTTTTGAATTTTGAGTAGATATGTTTAAACGTCTAGAAGGAACTTGTAGGGTTCACAGTCAGTAGTAACCTATGAAGTTACAAGGAACTGTCTGAAAACATATTTTAAGGCTTACTGAAACTATAACAAATTTCATTAAATGTAACCTAAAAGGATTTTAAAATGCATCCTTAACCCCTGAAGTCAGCTCCCCAAATCTTGCTATATCTTTTTAGCTATGGGTTATGTTGCCAGAATGGGTCATGATTTTTTTGTCAGTGTGCCATTTTGGAGAGAAGTAGGTCTTTTATTAAACTCTGGAGGAACAGTTACAGAAAGGAAGTCTTTTATTCATTAAACAAATATTTATTGAGCACCTACCATGTCCCAGGTATCCTTCTAGATAGAGAGGCTACAGTATTGAACAAAATAGACAAATATCCAAGCCCCCATAAGATTTATATTCTGGAAGGAAGGGTCAATTTAAAAAAAAAAGTATAAGTTATTTCATATGATGATAACTGCTATAAAGAAAAAGAAAATATCATGGGGGAATGGCACTAATATGGTATGTTAAAATTTAAATTTAAAATAGTGTAGTCAGGGTAGATTTTGCCGAGAAGGTGATATTTGGATAGAGAAATAAAGGTGGTGAAATTGAGCCATGAAGATATCTGGAGGATTACATTCCAGGCAGAAGAAACAATTACCAAAATTCTGAGGGAGGGAATTTCTGAAAAAAGTTGAGGAATGCTATGGAGGATGGTGTAGTTTGTGTGCAAATAATTTGAGAGAGTATAGCCAAAGAAGTCATAGAAGTGATGGGAGATTAAACAAAGAGGGACATTTTCAGGCATTTTAAAGGCTTTGGTTTATCCAAGTGAGATGGGGAGCCATTGGAGAGATTTGATCAGACAAGGGATATGATTTGGTTACAAGGTTCACTTTTTCTCCTGTGTTGAGAATAGACTAGGCACAAGAAGGGAGTTAAGAAGGAGGTAAAACAGAGAGATGAATGAGGAGGTTTTGTAATACTCTAAATAAAAACTAATGATGGCTTGGATCATAGTACTAAAAATGGAGATAGATGGAGACAGAAATTGGACACAGAGGTGTAGATACTTACTAAAAGGCTAGGAGAGCAATGTGGCAATAGTTGAAGAGATTGGGGGTTCTAAAGGATTGTTAAGTTAGGAGAAATTCAGCGGTTAATAATGATATAGTAGAGAGGAACAGTTTATGATGCAGAAGAGAGAGGTGGAATTGGTATGGTTATGTCTTCAGTAGATCAGAGGAAATGGTAACTAGTTCATGATGAATGGATTGGCCTTGGAAACACAGATAATTCGTCCATAGTTGTAAGATGGAAGATAAGTAGATAAGTACAAAAGCATGTAGTTGAATAGATATGGTGGAAAAATTTATTTATAAGAAATACATATATGTATGAGCAAATATAACATGCATGTATTTGATCACTAACAGTTAAAAAAAGCCACTCTTCTATTCCACTAAAATCTGACCAGTTGAATTTGCAAGACTGTAATACAAATATGAATTTATTTTTTTTAATTCTAGAGTATTTCCATAATGACCCTGAATTTATGTATATTTTGCAGAATCTATCTATAGTAAGCATTTGTATTTGGAAGGGAAGCAACTGAACCTAGAAATATATGACCCTTGTTCTCAAGTAAGTAAAACAAAGTATTATTTTATTTTATTTTTTTTCAATCATGATTTGAAGAAGATTGGGTAAGAGTAAATGTAAAGTTGCCAGTCTTAAACTGAAAGGTGTTCTCAATTTTAATTAAAATTTTAAGAGATTATTTTTAATATTATAAACTCCCAATATCTATCTATTTTTTGATAAAATGGGTTACCATTAATTAATTGTCTGAAGTGTCAAATACAGGTGGAATATCCCACCAGTTTCAATTTGCTTGATTTATTTTCAGCCAAAGAAAGCAAAATTTTCCCTCACAAGTGAACTGCATTGGGCAGATGGGTTTGTTATTGTGTATGACATCAGTGACAGGTCCTCATTTGCTTTTGCAAAAGCACTGGTCTACAGAATTCGGGAGCCACAAACTAGTCATTGTAAAAGGTAAGATATTCTCCATTCCTCTTGCCTTTCCTTTTAGTAAATCATCATAGCTATAAGCATCATTAGGAAGAGCTTAATACAGCCTTCCAATTACAAAATTTAACAGCCCTGAACAATTCACCTTCCATTCCACGGGAGTTACACATGTAGTAAAAGGAATAAGATGAGAATACTTTATATCCTGGCTGACATAAACAGATACTTGCTCTGAGTAAATGGCTATTTTACAAGACAGCTTCTATTGTTAACATGACACTCACTTGCAAAATGGTTCTCTGTACACAAGATAGTTCACTTTTCAACCTTTTCTTTTCATTCCCACAAAAATGTTAAGGATATTAAATAAATCCAAATTTGTTACATTTGGCATCCAATTCCTTGTCGTTGGGTTGTTCAATCTATCAAAGCAAAATAGACTGAATAATCAAACCATTACGAATTCTAAGTATGAGAATACATTTTTCTCTGTTTCACCTCCTAAAATAAAGAACTGATCAATGATTACCCATTGTTAATTGTCTTGACACAAAGAAACTATGAGGGAAGGCATACCTGCCTTAAACCATTCTTGTATTAGTAGATATACATTTACACATATGAATTTCCCATTTTCTTTATTTTTTTTGTTTGAGCCTCTCCCATTTAAAATATTTATTTTTATTTGACATGCTGATATAAAGGATTCTTTGTGCTCGTGATAAGATTTGCCCTTAGAATCCAAAATAACACTTTAATCTGGGAAGCAAGAAGCACAATATTATTACTGAAAATTGGTATATGTGTTTTTATATCTATTTTAAATGCCCACTATCAAGAAACCATGGGATAATGATTGATAAATGTTGTTTCCCTGAAGTCAATTGATGTAAATTCTTGTTTATATCTGATTGACCTTAGGTAAACCACTTTAATCTCTAGACCTCATTTTTCTGGTTATAAAACTGATAGAAACATGGTAGGAGAAAAGGACTTGATTTTACTGAGGTAACTTGCAGCTCTGATTTCCTCTCATATTACAGATTTTTGTTTTGAAATTCATTGTTTTAAGCATTAAATGCCTCCATGACTTAGGTAAGGGATAATAATAAAATTCCTTCGCTATTCTTCCAAATCAAAAGAATCACTTAAGAATAGTCAAAACATAAAAATGAAAACACCTATACTTGACATTTTTAAGGCAATCTTCTTAATGTACTAAGTAATTTTTAGAGTATTTCCACTTCTCAATCTGTAGATAGTCTAGGATAGCAAAATATGTTAGTGTTTTATAAAATTACATCTGATTATGAGTCACCCTTCAAAATATTTCACTTATCCTTCCCCATTAATCCTTTACAATACTTTTCTGAATTTTATAGAAAAAATATTAATACCTTGAAAAGTCTAACAGACACAGTGCTTTTCCCCTCACCACTCACACACACCATCATGCAAATGAAACTGACTTTCAGCAGAATCTAAAGACAGTATCTTTATAGATAGAGTTGAATACTGCATTTATTCATTTCTTCCCTATAGTAGATAACTTGGCAGAGTTCCATGGCATTTATAAGGACTAGTTGTCTTACTCTATCTTTCAAATGAAACCCTGTTTTAGAAATTTGTCTCTGTAACCGAGGAAAAATTATTGATATTTGTTGAAGACATTATCTTAACAAGGAAATGTTTTTCTTTAAAAAAAATACTTATATTGAGAGACAGGGAGGGCGAGGCAAGGAGAGAGGGAAAAAGAGAATACTAAGCAGGCTCTGTGCTGTCAGTACAGAGCCTGGTGCGGGACTCACTCCCACAAACTGTGAGATCATGACCTGAGCCGAAATCAAGAGCTGGATGCTTAACCGACTGAGACACCCAGGAGCTCTGGAAACATATTTCTTAAATAAATAGAAAAATTGCACAAGGTCATGAGATTATAACATTTATCTCTAGACTATGGTATAATGGATAATAACAAAGAACAAACAGCAATGAGTATTGAGTAATATTTTTCCCTAGGAAAATTATATCTAAATTGTTCAATTATAGTAGCTATTCAGTAAAAACATATTAGTTAGTCCTTCTCTTTCAATTGATAAGGAAATGAAAAATAATACTTGGTAAGCATCTTTTGCTGACTGTGCTAGGTATTTTTATGTACATCATTTAATTAAATCTCCATGAGAATTCTGTTTAACACGTGCTATTTCACGATTGTTTTACATATAGGATAATGGAACTTGGAAAATTAATAATCATGCCTTGTTGGTAAACAGAGCCATTATTCAAGAATAGGTTTGTATCAATGCAAATCCTATGCTTTAATAGTCTTGTTACTTCTGTGTCACATACCACATTCTATAATTTTTGTAAATAATTGGAGATTTGTGTCGTACACTTACATATGACCATAAGAAGCACATATACACACACAATAATTTTTTTGTCCTTAATTCATTTTTATATAAACCTACTAATGCAAAAAAAAGAGCTGTAAAATAATTTTGCCAAAGTTGTGTTCTACATTTCAGAGCTGTGGAATCAGCGGTGCTTCTGGTTGGTAACAAGCAAGATCTCTGTCACGTGCGAGAGGTTGGCTGGGAAGAAGGGCAAAAGCTGGCATTGGATAACCGCTGCCAATTCTGTGAATTATCTGCAGCAGAGCAGTGTCTGGAGGTAGAGATGATGTTTATCAGAATTATCAAGGACATCCTGACAAACTTCAAACTCAAAGAAAAGAGAAGACCCAGTGGATCTAAATCAATGGCTAAACTGATCAATAATGTATTTGGAAAGAGACGGAAATCTGTTTAGCAGACATGTAATCCTAGGGGATTTATTATATCAGAGAGTTTTAAATATTCACATGATAATGAAATTTGCCCTTTGTATGCATTAAAAAAAATAGTTCTCTTAGAGATATGAACTGACTGAACATAAACCACAGCTGTGTTTTCAAATATATAGCTTGCCGTTTGGTTGTTTGTATCTTGTACACTCATGCTTCACACCCAGCCTTTTCCTTATTACACAAAATGGCACTCGCTATAACTTACCAATGCATTGCTGTATAGTTTGCTTGTATAACTGCTTAATGATTTTATTAAACTACCTCCACAGGCCTCAGTTTACTTTTATTATATTTATTTCTTTGAAAGAAATATGTAGTTATAGTTCATCAATTTGGTAGAAATGCATGAATTTAATTTTTAAAGTGCCTTTCCAGTAACTCAGTGAGTTCTTGATATCATTTACATCTTGATATTACTTATTGCTCATACTACTTATTTCACATATAATTTAGACCTTAAGAAGTTGAATTCTCTGCCTGTAAGTATAGTTTGTATTTGGTCTGATAATGAAAAATTCTGCCTTTCATGTATTCCATATAAGAAGGGTAGTTAGCACAAATTAAGTTATATGGCTAAGATCCTTTTCATATAAAAAGGATTGGTTGTTTTTAGTTAATAATAGAGATCCATACATCACAGGGGAAAAGTAAAAGCTGGTTGGCACACATACAACCTTGAAGACCTTATTGCCTTGAAAGAAATATTGTATTAGACAAACATTTTGGGCCTTCTCAGATTTCTCTAAGTGCAGTTGCCTTCAGAAATCAACTGTTTACCCTCTGTACTTCAGTGCCCCTGCCGCTGGCCTCGCTGCCTTTTAAGTTGGGGCCCTCGGCCTAACTTCAGCCAAATCACTGGTAATTAAGGTTACGTCTCCCAGAAATTAAACTGGGAGTGCAAGCAGTGCTACGTACCCTAGTTAACATGTATCAGCGAGAATCTGGGGGTGAAGCTGGAAGAAGATCTTGAGTAGAGGTTGGTAGGCAAGTGGGGGACCAGTAACACAGAACGTTAGTCTGCATAGGAGAGAATTCATTGACTTGGTGTTACTCACCATGAACTGTAATTCCACATTATAGGAGGGACATCTAGAACTCATCAATGTAGTTTTGCTGTTCCTTAGAAGTCTGGCCTTGATGATAGACTGGAGTAAAAGTAGCGGAAATAATAGAACATTGTGTGGTAGAATACAAAATAGTTCAGAACATTCATAAAGGTAGGGAAGTTAGAATTGATATGGTAGGTTTGCTCAGGAACCCACCATGTAATGGTGGTGCTTGGGACAATTCAGAGGAATTTCCTTTACTAAGAAAGTGAGGAATGCACTGGTGAGGGGACACAGACAATTTTGAGAAGCTTAATACTGACTGTGCTCTATAGGTCAGAGTCGGCAGTAGGAATGTTGTCATCAAACTGTGCTGCTTGAAAGAATCCTGGAACAGCAGAATCTGGATGCCAGCATTTTTTTTTAAGTTTATGTATTTATTTTTAGAGAGATAGGGTGGGAGTTGGGAAGGGGCAGAGAGAGGAGGGGAGGGAGAACCCAAAGTAGGCTCCAAGTTGTGTGCACAGAGCCTGACTGGGGTCAAACTCACGAGCCCACGAGATTATGAACTGAGCCAAAATCAAGAGCTGGGCGCTTAACCAACTAACCCACTCAGGTGCCCCTGGATACCAGTGTTTAACTTGTTTCCTGTTACCCACCCACTCAGCCCACAAAGAAACAGTGCTATATCCAGGGCAGAGGTTCCATTTCTAATAGTGGCTGGTTGGAAACTTAGAAGTGACATATTCAATCAGTTATATTGAGGCAAAGTCCACATTATAAGCCCATGCATTGCTTCCATCCATGCCACTATGACCACTGTTATCCTGGATCGTTGTTGTAAGCACAAAGATGGCCAAGAGGCAGGTTGGTATCTGCAGGACAGGTCATCCTGTCCCTCTGGTTGTAAAGTGACTTCTCCTTGGTGGATGCTCTCTGATGGGCATAAACATGATACACAAAGATATGACTATTTTATGTTCTAAGAGATACATTCACACATTTTTTTCTCTGGTCCTTTTTGTCATCATCACCCAGTTTTTTTTCGTGCTGATCTCTAGCCAACTGGCAAAACCACTGATTGCTGCCTAGAAATCTGTACCATGGGCCACTTTTCATAACATACAAAAGGTAGACAACATAGTGCACTTCTTGAAACTGGCAAATGGGATAATTTCCTTCTACTAAAGAACTTCATGGTAACCTCTGTGTAATGAGGCACAGTCCTCTTATGGCTGGCACTAATATGTCAAGCTTAGGAAAGATCTCTATCAACTAGGTACATTCAGATTGGATTGCTATGTAAATGAGAAATAAATTTTATTGTGTAATGTTATTCTAGCAAATTCAATGTTATGCTTTTTTTAGTCAACTGTTTGCAAGGATTTTATTAATATTTTATAGTTTCAATATTGTCTTCACATATATATGTACATAGGTAAATATATATGTACATATATATTTATATATATATATATCAGTTTAACCATTATATTTTAATTTTTTGTTTTATTTTGTTCTAATTATTCTCTTGGATAATTTCCGTTTTAGAGATTTGGTCTTCATTCTTTAAAATTATTTTCCCAGTTCAAAAAAGATTCTTTTGGGATAATTTGGTGTGAAAAACAACATGTTAATTTATGTGGTATGCAAGAACTCTAATGTCGATATGGTATGAAAATTCTTTAATAGTTTAATCCATGCATACCTGTCTGTGATGAGTCAGAATTCAAAATTCCTCTGTTAAGGATACAAATATTTGAATATATTTTACAATTTTATTTATTGTACCTTGATTTTTTTGTCAAGATGACTTGGGATGACACATCTTGTTATAAGGAGTCAATGGAACAGAGTAACGCAAACGTTCTCTCACACACGAAAGATAACTGTGAGATGATAGATAGTTAATTAATGTGATTGCAGTTTGATTGTGGTAATCATTTTACAACATATACATGTGTGTGTGTGTGTGTGTGTGTGTGTGTGTGTGTATTAAATCATTATGTTGTATACCAAATCTATTACAACTTTATTTTTCAATTTACCAAACCTGGAAAAAAGGGGACCAGGTTGGGAAAGGGGCTTGAGCTTGATCTGTTCCTACATCATCTGTTCTCACCTGTTCCCATCGGCTCCTCCCTGGGATTTAGCTTTGGGAGCCATGAGTCAACATATATGAATCTAGTTGCCCTGAAGGCACAGGGCTGGAGATACCACACAGGATTAGTAACCACACAGCCACTCAATATATGAGCGTATCCAGCCTCTACCCTTGGACTAACTGATGCCAAGTAGAGCAGAGACGAGTTAGCCCACAGAATCTTGCCCCAATTGCAGATTCGTGAGCGTAATTGCCATTGTTGGGGGCTATTAAACCATTGTTTTGGGGTTATGTGATAATAGGTAACCAGAATAGATAACTTATTCAAACTCTTGGCAGTTCAGACAATACAAAATATTTGGCTTTCTTATCGGGGAAAAATGTGAAAAAAAGAACAAACCCACTTTAAGCCACTTCAAAACAGTCTAGAACCTGAAGTTGTCGCAATATCAGTTTTCTTGTGAATGTAATTCACACGTAAAGCAACTTTCAAGAACCTAAAAAGTAATAAATTACAGTTTTCCAAAGTGAGAAAACCACATCTGCTTACAGAGAAACAAATACATCAACATGAGACCATAGAATATTGTAGGTTTAGGATAGCAAGTGTGTCTATAAATCTCAGAGATAGTTAAGCTGTATCACTAGGCTGGGAATTGCCTAAGCTGCTTCTAGTAAAAAAGATGCTGTCATTCACTTTGGATGAGCTTCAGTGAGATAACACATAATGAGGGGCAACAGCTGAGGAAGGGAATGCCAAAAGGGAGGGGCCTTTAAAATGGTTTTGATTTAATACAAGGCATGCACTATTAATAAAGAGGTTGAATGATACCTGTATGTTTTATAGGTTTATAAATTGGCTGTAGTAAAATATTTTACATCTTAGATCACTAGGTATTGTTTCAGCTTATTATGGGAGATATCTATCTAGAGTTGACTGAATTGTATTAATCTGAACCTAGTTTAATGATGCCTTAACATTTTTATGGGGGAATTTAATGTTTGCAATATCCATGTTCCTTATTTGAAAGCGTGACTTATAGGTTTCTCATCTTCCTTAAATTATGAAATCCTTCAGCTAATAAAGGAAAATGATTATAGTTTGCAAAAAAGGCAAAGTCATTTAATAATCCATATAACTGTCTATTGTAGGACTTTGCATAATAATTGTAATTTAGCTATTAAGGATTCTAAAGGCAGTTATCAGTCATACTCTACAATTCTGGGGAATCAGGCAAAGCCCAAATTATTTAAAGTATTTTAAATTCCCAAAGAAAAAAAAAGACACACTATAAATTGGAAATATACTTTATAATGACAACATATTATTTCAAAGTAAAGAAGAAGGTCATCATAATTTTCAAATGTATAAACTACCAAGCAGGTTGTTTTTTTTTTTTTCTTTTGGATAGAGATACAATTTAATAATGGGAATGTAAGTTCCTCCAAGGAGGGAATTAGAAGACTCTATAATACTAGTTGCAATGTGGAATTTTACCAACATTTTAGTAATCCTGGAACCACTAAGGCATGAAGAATTAAGAGAAGAAAACCAGACCATTGAAGAAGAGTAAGATATGAGATTACTTGCCATTATTTGAGAGTATGATCATGAGTTACTGCTGTAGCGTCTAGACCATTCTATAGGACTAAAGATGACTAATATCTAGACACTTGGAAACATTCAAACAGATATTAAGTTAAGCTGGTGTTTTTTCCAGACATAAATTTATTTTCAAGGTAATCAATTATTTAGTTTTGGATGATTTGGGTACAGTTCTACATGTAAACACATCTATGAATTAAAATTCTTGGGTTGGTTTGGAGGTAGAATGTTTAATTCATTCAAACAAAAATTCTTTATTTAAAAAAAATTTTATGTTTTTTTTATTTTTGAGAGAGAAACAGAGTGTGAACAGGGGAAGAGCGGAGAGAGAGGGAGACAGAATCCGAAGCAGGCTCCAGGCTCTGAGCTGTCAGCACAGAGCCCGACGCGGGGATCGAACTCACAAACTGTGAGGTCGTGACCTGAGACGAAGTGGGATGCTCATCAACTAAGCCACCCAGGTACCCCTAAACAAAAAGTCTTTTAAAAATAACCAGTTGGATGACTTTTGTCAGAAAA